GAGCAGGTTTTCCCTGTGGGACAGGTTTTCCAAGGCAGGAATAGGTGGGCTGGATCAGACCCTTCTGCAGCAGCAGAGCTGCCCGGCTCCCTGCAGGTGTTTAAACCCATTTTAGAAGTATTTTGGTCAGGATTTCTTCACTCCATTCCTCTGTTCATTAACCTTTACGGCAGCGCTAATTCTGTACTCGAACAGAAGGTCAAAGCCCTCAGCTGAAGCTGTTCCTGAAGAATGAAGTGTCTTCTCTGAAGCCTTTGGAGAGAAATCCCGTGCCAGAAGCACTCCTCAGTGCCTCTTGACTGGTGCTGCCGCTGCCTCGCCTCCCGAGGAGCCGGTGCCACGTCTGATGCGGGAGCCAGGTTGCTGCAGTGGTTGACTTTGGGAAATGGGTGTTTGAAATGTGCTCTCCCCATTGTGGCCTCTTGCAAAAGGTGCCTGAGGTACTGAAACACAGACCCAGGCACTTCCTGCAACTCCCCTGGTGAAAGTGAACTCGCTGTGAAAACTCAGGTGGCTTTTCCACCACGTTTCTCATCAGCAGGAGAGGCAAACCGGCATTCAGACACTCCTGCACTGCTCTACCTATCTAAAGCTATGCTGGGATGGAAAGACTCTGCCTGGACTTGTGCAAAGCATTTGGCACTGCCCCACATGACATCCTTGTCTCTAAACAGGAGGGACTCTTCATTAGGGACTGTGGTGACGGGACAAGGGGTAACGGGTTCAAACTGAAACAGGGGAAGTTTAGATTGGATCTAAGGAAGAAGTTCTTTCCTGTGAGGGTGGTGAGGCACTGGAATGGGTTGCCCAGGGAAGCTGTGAATGCTCCATCCCTGGCAGTGTTCAAGGCCAGGTTGGACAGAGCCTTGGGTGACCTGGTTTAGTGTGAGGTGTCCCTGCCCGTGGCAGGGGGGTTGGAACAGGATGATCTTGAGGTCCTTTCCAACCCTAACTATTCTATGACTGTACCCCGTGCTCGAGGACGGCAGCGTGTACACGTCCCAGTTGTGGAGGAAAGTTTTCCTGAGTCAGAAAAACCTCATGGAGCTTTCAGGTTGAAGTTGCAATCAGAGCGCGCTTAGAGAAGAAGGTGGGAGCTCAGACCTTGATGTAACACCCTGTCTTTGTCTTAGCTGTTTGTTTGATGGGGCAGTCTTGTGGGTTGGAAGATCAGTCTGAGAACTGCAGCCTCTTCCTCCTCCTCCTGATCCCCTGCCTTCCATTCCCCATGGCTGGGGTTAAAGTGAGACCAAGAGAAGGGGACCGGGAGACAGGGGATGTGCAAAGGGGATAAAGAGATGGGTAGCAAGAGATGGAGACTGGGAGACAGGGACTGAGAGATGGGGACAAAAAGATGGGCTCTAGGTAAAGGTGACCAAGAGACAGGTCCAAGAGATGGGGATCAGAATAGTACCAAGAGACAGAGACCAAAAGGCAGGGCCAGTGGTATGCCAACCCCCTGCTGTGCTGCAGTCCCTTCCCCATGGAGGTGACACAGTGCTGTTGTGTGTGCTGTTGCCAGGGAAAGCATCCCACTGCTGCCAGAAAAGCCTGAAATGGAGTGCTGCACATCTCCTCCCACTTAGCACAGCTCCTGCGGGCTGCAAGAGCACAGGTTGGTGCCTTGGAATTAAATTGATATGAGGAAAAAAACCCTGTTGAGACCAGAAAACACACGAGTAGCAGAGCAGGATGCAGCTTGTTCGCTTTCCCAGGGATACCTGGGGGAGTGTGGAAGGAATTACCCCTTTCCTGAATCCAGCGTGTTGCTCACCAATGGCAACAGCCCACGGCCGCCTCCGCAGTGGTTTCAGTCTGATGCTAATATCCCAGAACTGAACTTTCAGAGCCTGTGTCAAGGGTATTGTTTAATTTAGCTCTGAGTTTCCTCTAACTCCCCATTGATGCCTTCCAAGCTTGTTTTCCAGCTCACTGAGGGCAATACGGGGACCCTCTCCTGGCCCCATCCTGGGGGGCACCGTGCACAGGAAGGTCCTGTCCCAGCATGCTGCTTGTCCTCCTGCTACCAATAAACACATAAATGGGAAGGATGAGTGCATCTATTGCTAAAAGCAATTTGGGAATGATTCACAGGGTGTTATCAGCCTTAATATTTGGCAAACGGACACTAAATCCTCTTTACACAGAAAATAGTGGCAAAAGAGCTCCAGTGCTCCCCTGGGCCCAGCTCCCAGGCTCTGATTTAAAGCTTGAGGGGACTGAATTTGCAGCAGCTTATCTCAGAGTTAACTTTATTTTTCCCTTACAATACTAAATGTAGGAGGGTGAAGGTTAATGAAGGAAACGGTGAATGTGAAGTTCCGTGGAAAAACGACCCAGTGCTTTTAGCAATTCACTTAAATGAGAGAGGAAAACCAGTTCCTTTAACATTTTAAAGCTCTCACAGCCTAATGAACCATGCTACCTCCTGCAGCTTCCACTGAGCCAAAATTCCTGCAAGAGACTGTCTCATTAGCATGAAGTGGGAGCAGCCTGCCCAGCTCTGCACGGCTCCTGGGATGCTTCGCCTCTCCCACCCCCAGGGAGCATCTCTACCTGAAGTGAGGTGTCAGAGATGTTAAGCACATCTAAACTGCTGCATCTCCCAGCCTGAATTAGAAGAGCAAAGTCTGTTTTCATGTACAGAGACACGTGCACAGGGTGCCCAGAGAGGCTGTGGCTGCCCCATCCCTGGCAGTGTTCAAGGCCAGGATGGACACAGGGGCTTGGAGCAAGCTGCTCTAGCAGAAGGGGTCCCTGCCCGTGGCAGGGGTTGGAGCTGGAGGAGCTTTAAGGTCCCTTCCAACACAAATCAGGCTGGGATTCTATTAATAAGGCAGGGAGGGAAGCAATGGCGTTGCCATCTCCCCATTAGATGCCTACCAGGAAACAAGGTGGCTGCTGTTCAGCCACTTCTTTAAGGTTTATTCTCATGGGTCACATTTAAGTCACCATAGCTGGGGTTAATGGGAATTCTGTTTTTAGGATTATAGCAGTTTTGATAAGTGGGAGAGCTGACGTTATTGCACATGAATCCCCCTGTGTAATGTGCGAGTTGTGGTGTGGTTTTGGCTGAACAATAATAAAGGGAAGGATGGATGTGCATTAGGAGAGAACAGATTTTGCCCTCTGGATACCAAATCTATATTATCATCACAGGCATTTTTTAATCTGGCAGCATGAAAACCCTCAAGGGTTGGTGGAGGAATGATGAATACTTTTGTATTTGGCAGATAAGAGGTGAAACTCCTGTGGCAGTGGTGGCCGGAGCAGCGCTGCTCACTCCTCCTCCCGCAGCTTCCATTCCGGCTCACTACAAATGCCATTTGTTCTGCTAATGGGGGCTGAGCTTTACCTGCTGCCCAGCGGCCCTGCAAGGAAAATGCCTTTCACTGGGTTGTTTCTCATTGCTGTTTGCAGTGGGTTCACAGTTCAGTGCGTGGGAGAACCAAGTCCTCTGCTCTGCCCAGGAGAGCTGAGTGAGAGCAAAGGGAAGGCTCCTCCTGTGTGTCTCCAGGCACTAGGACGGCTGCTGGCATATATTAAAGCAAAGCCTCAGGGTTAGTTCTGACATGGAGGAGACATGGGCATGTAGGTGATGCAGGGTGGCTGAGGACCATTATGCACCAAACAGCAACCCCCAGTGCAGAGACCCAGCTTCCATCCCTGGCAGTGTTCAAGGCCAGGTTGGACACAGGGGTTTGGAGCAAGCTGCTCTAGTGGAAGGGGTCCCTGCCTGTGGCAGGGGTTGGAGCTGGAGGAGCTTTAAGCTCCCTTCCAACACAAACCAGGCTGGGGTTCTGTGAATCACATATGAATGACAAAATACAAATGACTGAAAACGAGGTTTATGGGAGGTGGCAAATTATGTTGATCTCTGCATTCTTCAGCATGGGCATTTTCTATTCTAAAGGAACACTTGAGCTCTTCATGCATTAAGAAAGTCGGTAGAAAACAGTAGGACCAAATAGTGCTGAAGGTGCCCTGGTAAAAATCTCTCCTGCCCTTATTGATACTACCCTGAGACCCTTGTGCCATTGCCTTGGTTTGCATCTTTTCAGTTATGTTCTAGACTTTTCTGATCACAGAATAAATTCCTCTCCCCCTTTCCTCAATGCTCAGCAGAAAAACATAGAACGGGACCAAAACCCAGCACTGAGTGCCTGTGTGTGCAGCATCCCTGGCAGTGCACGGCTGAGATGGATGTTGGTCAGATTGAAAGTGAATTCCTCCTTTGGATGTCAGTTCTTATTTATCTACACTCAACATTAAGGCTGAATGGAGAATTTTAATGCCTGGGTTTTAAGATATGTATCTTTGTTGAAGTTGTCTTCTTGTTTCAAAGAGGCCATGCGTGGCCAGGCTAAAATTTGTCCTTTTCCTAAACTTGCTCATGTATGTCTGCTTATGCTATAATTTGGAAATTATTTAAGAATATCTAGGATTAAGATATGTTTAAAACTTATTTAAGATTTGATTTGCTGGAGCGGGGCCAGAGAAGGGCAGCGGAGCTGGTGCAGGGCCTGGAGCACAAGGGTGATGGGGAAGGGCTGAGGGAGCTGGGGGGTTCAGTGTGGAGAAGAGAAGGCTCAGGGGGGACCTGATGGCTCCCTACAAGTGCCTGAGAGGAGGATGGAGCCAGGAGGGGCTGGGCTCTGCTCCCAAGGAACAAGGGATGGGACAAGAGGAAACGGCCTCAAGCTGCCCCGGGGCAGGTTTAGATGGAGCTGAGGAACAATTCCTGCCCCAGAGGGTGCTCAGGCATTGGAACAGGCTGCCCAGGGCAGGGCTGCAGTCACCGTCCCTGCAAGTGTTCACACAGCGTGAAGGGGAGCCCTCAGTGCCATGGGGCAGTGGTGGCCTTGGCAGGGCTGGGAATGGTTGGACTGGGTGAGCTTGAAGGGCTTTTCCAACCTGGTTGATTCTAGGATTCTTTCAAAGGAAACACTTCCCTCTCCTTCCCCCCTTTTTTCTTCAACAGAACCAATCCTTCCATGGCAGGCTATGAAATATGGATTATTTACCTCCATACTGGGCACACTTCTGGCCTAGTCTTAGAAGTAAATGCATATTTAGTCTTTAAGGCATATTGTTCATCCATGTAAGTACATATTTTGGTATAGACATTCTTTATAACACAGTTCTGTGGGCTAAGTGGAGATTTTGGTAGGCAGAACATTTCCCATTGTCTGTCCAGAATGCCAGCTATGAAAATGTGCAAAAAAGCAGCTTTCACTGATGACGGGTTTTAACACTCCTGCATCTTAAAAACAGCACAGTTTCTAAAATAATATATATATATACTGAAAAGCTTAAAAAAAGCTGTCTAGCTCTGAAGGATGCATTTCCTGCCAAGTTATAAACCCTCAAGAAACTGCATTTGTTCAGGAAGTTGTGAGACATCCTTTAATTTAGTATTAGTATAATATCACCATCAGCAACTGTGTAATTAAGAGCATCATTGCTTCTATGGATGTCACCGGCGCAATGGCAACTGCAGACCTGAGTTATTACACACGTAGGAACTTACTTATGGTGTTACAGACCTGGGGGGGTTTGATGTGGACAACAACCTCAGTTATGCTGCTTGGAGCTAAGCCATTTATTTATTTAAAGGTAGGAATAAATAGAATAATATCTGCCCAACAGATGTGACCGGTGTGGGTTAACCCTTTGAAGAAGCCTAGAACATACCCTCCAACCATTGCCTAACGCAAACACACCTACAGATTAAAAGGGTGGGTAGGTTTTGTGAAACGTGGCTGTGTTCTATTTGCAGCACTGTCCGGTTTGGAACACCTCAATAAGTCCCAGTCTGTACAATTCCCAGTTCACTGCATGGAACATTCACCAACTTGGTTGCTGCTTTATTTGATCCATGCTGCCTACAGCTCCAATCCTGCAATAATTAAGGGCGTTTGGCTGCACGTACTAGGTCTGTTGGGTTAACTGGTGCACCGAGCTCAGCACGGCTGCACCTCTATGTAGGAGTGGAGGATGGAGCGGGCAAGTCTCACAAGCTGACTAAGTCCACAGACACCAAGAGCTCGCCCTGTGCCGCGCTTTGCACCCACACACGCATCCACCACCAAACACTGCTATCAAATGCCTGTTTTAATAGGCCTGACCGCTATCAAACACTTATTTCATCTAAGGAAACACCACTGGCACCCAGAAATGTTTAGGGTTTGTTTGCTTTTGACTTTTTAAACTTGACAATAATGGTGTCCCCCCAAATTCAAGTGAAAAGTCTGAGATGGGACTGAATATCCATGTTATCCAGTAGCTCTAGCAGGTATGAATGCAAACAGTCAACTTATAATTATCTTTTTGAAATATATTTAATAAAGCTGCTGTTCATTCTATTCTGCTGCTGGAAATACCATGTTTCAGGTCTTGGGAACCACTGGAATGAAATATATCATTGAAATATGGAATTTGATCCAGCCACAGTATAGAAACATCTCAGTTTTATGTGAGACAAGGCGCATGAGCTGGGCTATGCATATCCTTTTTTTTTCCCCTCATAAAACCATACTGACACAATACTTTCTGCAGCACCACTGTTTCTAGCAAATGGGTTCTAAAATATAGCACTTTAAAGCTGCAATACAAGAGACATCAGGATATCAGGACTGTGTATAGTACAATTTGAATTGGGTTTTGACTGTTTCCTCAGAGGATTAAGTTTCTCATGTTATTTGAGGTTTTAAAAAATGCTACATTACTGAAAATAGTAACTGGAAATAAGATAGAAATAGTATGATCTGTCACTGAACATCCACAGTGACCCAGGACACTCCATTCCCATGTTTTGGAGTCAACATATTTCTTTTATACCCTTTATCACTAACTACAACAGATTCAGTGTATATTCTGTTAGCATGGGGTGGTGTATACTGAGACTAGTGAAACCCAGAGTCTGCCTTTCCAAAAACTGGGGTACCTGTGAGCTGAACTTGGAACTGCTGGGTATGCACAGTGCTCATCTGGTATTGCTTGCTACAAAAACCTATGGATTGATAGGAGACAAAACATCGACTACAGGAATTGTGTCACCTACCAGACATATAGATAGAGAAAACATAGGAGTGTTGGTGTCAATAGTGGTTTTGTTACTCTTGTCATCAATAGCTGCTTTGTAAGCAAGTCAAAATCTGTTGGGGTCACAAAGGGATGTTGTAGTCAAGGGCTGTTGGCCATCGTCATGCCCCAGCAGTTTACACAGATGGCATTTAAACTCAGCCATAAACGGTGAGTAACATTTTGCATTAGTGCTGTCCGGGGCTGCTTAAAAACAACAAAGTTAGTAGCATTAGGTGCTATTTCAGAACTTGATCCTTCACTGGGTGAAATGAGCGTTATCTATCTCGATAGACTGCAGTACTAGGAAATTAGGTATGAGGCCTTAACTGCTGTGCAAGCTATTTGTACAGCGTTAGTACGTCGGTAATGAAGTCCTGTCTGTAATGATGATTCTATCGTGGACGGCAACATGCACTTCGGTACAGTTATTGGAGCAACCTCGTTTTAATATATATATATGTATATATATAAAATTCTGCTTGATACTTCATGTATTTTCAGATATCTAATATTTAAAAGCATCCTTTATCATTGCTAAATTAGCCAAACCAGTACAAAATTAAGTGCAAGAAAAATACCAATTCACATAGTTTTTGCCAGTAATACAAAAGGGACAGTTCAGCTTCTGACATTTACAGCCATTGAGGAATTTGGCTTTAGAATGACTAAGGGAAACATTCCTACATTCAAAAGATGTCTCAAAATAATTTGTGTTCTGTTTTGTAATGGGAAAAACTGGTTTTTACTGAAATCATCTACTGGTCAGTGGTGCTAGATGGAAAACACAAAGAGGAGTTGGTGCTATCCTCAACTGGTTGCCTAAAAACCTAAGTCTGAAGCTTTTTGATGACCCCCTGGAGATGGGAGAGGAGGTTTTGCTTTTAGCCAATAGCACCTTTGTCCTAGACTAGAGATTTGTTATGCTCAAAAGGATGCTTTAGCATTTCCCAAAAGACATTCCAGATTTGTTGGAGAGGAAGAGGAAAGAAGTGTTTTATGAAGGCACACCCATGCTGAATTTGCAGGAGAAAGGAAAGAAACCAGAAAGCAGTACTGCACAATGCAGTTATAATACAAGGCTCATTCTTGAAACCTGAATATCATGCTAGAAGAAAATCTAGATATGTGTAATATTTTGAAGAAATATTATTTTGAAGGCAATATTATTTGTTATTTTTTCTATCAAAAAAGGAAAAATGTGTCTGTGTAAATGTGGGTTCAATGCTGTTCAAGAAGGGAACTGAATATTTGTATTGCAGCCTTAAAGAAGCACATTTTTACTGCAATATCTTCTCTTTTTTTTTGTAAACTACAGTCTGCAACTCAGCAGACCATGACTGAATGCTTTTGAAAACTTGGAGATTACAAACATGAAATCACAATTAATATCCTCTAAAAGTAATTTCAGAGTTTTTCACGTCTTAAAAAAGGACAATGTGTACTGCTTCACAAGGTAATGCAGCTAATCAAAAAGAGGAGTAGAATTAAAGTATTTACATAATGAGCAATTCTACAGAAGGCGATCATCCCCACGTAAGCACTGCTGATTATATCCCACGCTGCTTTTAACAAACTCTACCAGATTGGAGCCAGTCATCAGCACTTTCAGAGAATCCTTAAAAGCCTTTTATGGGTCTTTACATTTAGTGCAGAATGATGTTCTTCAGGTAGAATATGCTGGTGAGGGAGGACAGTGTCAACACAAGGTACCAGCAGGAGAAGAGGACTTCGGCATCGCCGGTGATCCCGTACTGGGCTGTACTGGGAGCTGCAAAGAGAAGAGAAAGGGGTTAAGTGAAAATGCCCACTCCTGGACCCCCAAATCCTTAGTTTTCAGTAACTCTTCTAAGATAACCATTAGTGCAGCAAAAGCGTCCTCCTGAAAGCCGCAGGAGCTGCTGCAAAGGTAGCCAAGCCCTCCTGCCGCACCGCTGAGTGAAGATGACTTTTAGTTTCAAAGAGGATAAACCAGTTTTAAGGCAAGCATTTAAAATGTGGGTATTTAACATCAGCCGAGAAATTCAGGTTTAAACATCTGAATAATTTATCTGTTTTCAAGTTACTGAGCATTGAGATCTCCACTGAAATCAATGAGAGGTGAATGTCTAAGGTCTGCTGGAAAACAACTCATTTTCTGCCTAAGTTTAGATAGAAGCCAAAGCTTGACAATTTTGCTTTGCCAAGGACATTCATATTTATTTTCAGTCTCTTGGATGAGCTTGAATTTATTTGCTGTAATACAAAGCCTTTCTCAAATTCCTAAGTAAATATTACAGTAAGGGCATGCAGAGAGAGAGTTAAAACATAAGAAACCAGTGTGGAGAAGCAAGCGAGGAGGCAATCACTGGCAGCAGCCATGGGTGGGATGGCTGCAGGCTTGGACCCGGGCGGAAACCAGTGATTTTTGAAAGGCTGGAGAACTGAGTGGAGAGAAACCTGATGAGATTCAACAAGGACAAGTGCAGGGTCCTGCACCTGGGGAGGAAGAACCCTAAGTACCAGCACGGTTGGGGGCTGACTCTAGTGAGAATAGGACAAGGAGCGATGGCCATAAACTACAACACAACACAAGTACAACACAAGAAGTTTCACCTCAACAAACACGAGGAAGAACTTCTTTACACTGAGGGTGGCAGAGCACTGGCACAGGCTGCCCTGGGGGGCTGTGGGGTTTCCCTCTCTGGAGACATCCCAAACCTTCCTTGGCACGTTCCTCTATGACCTGCTCTGGGTGGCGCTGCCTTGGCAGGAGGTTGGAAGTAAGGATATGGCACAGGCTGTGCTTTGGAGTAAGCAAGCTTCTCTTTGGGGCAGAGAAGAAGGAAAGCTGCAGTAATCACCCCGGAAATTAAAGTAAACCCAGGAGTTTCACCACATCCTGCTGGCTTTTGCAGTTGTGGTCTCCTGAATTTCAAGCCTTGCTCAGTCTGAATACTGAAACAAGAAAATCTGTGCTATGTGCTACCAGGTCCATTTCTAATGTGACATTTGGCACAGTGTGTTGTAAACCCCAAAATCATTCATTTCCCCCATGCAGAGAGGTTCAGGCAATAAAAACCCCAAACAAGATGAAGCTTGATTTTGAAGCTTAGTTTAGTGACTAATAATCATGCCTAAACACAGGACAGGGCACTCGCTTCTCATTCAAAGGAACTTTGTGTGATAAGTCAGGATGGCAAATCAACATTTAATTTATTACACAAACCAGGCTAGCAAGCTGAAACACAGCGTGGGTGGTATTGCATTTTGTCATATTTAAAGAGTTCCCCTAACTTACAGATAATTTGAACTATGGTGGCTATAATTGTGAGTGGAAAATTATGTAAATCTGATTTCCTGCACATGAACCAATACTATCTTTCTGAAGCTTATTAAATCACATCTGGATTGTTTCAGCACAAAGGTGCTAAGTGAATTAATGGGGAAAACCACACAGGCTTGGGTAGATAATAGGAAAGACTTACGGTTCCCAGAGCTGGCTAACCAGAAGGATTTGATGCGAAAAAAGAATGAAGGAGAAGCAAATCTGGAGAAGTTTAAGCCACTGGGATTGAATATAATGTCCTGAGCAGATGCTCAGCTGGATTTGAATAAATAGCCCTGAGTTCACATGGGACAGGGAGGTGGAGGATGCCAAACCATGCAGAAGCTGGTTTTGCTGGACCATGGGCTAAATTTCCCCCTCTTCCACCCCTGCAGAGCTTGGGTGTTGATGCTATGACTGGGTCGGTTCAAAACCACATTTGACCATAGCAGCCTTCCAGTATCTGAGGGGGGCTACACAGATGCTGGGGAGGGACTCTTCACCAGGGACTGTAGTGACAGGACAAGGGGGGATGGTTTTAAACTGAAACAGGGGAGACTGAGCTGAGCTCTTAGGCAGAAGCTCTTCCCTGGGAGGGTGCTGAGGCGCTGGCACAGGGTGCCCAGAGAAGCTGTGGCTGCCCCATCCCTGGCAGTGTTCAAGGCCAGGTTGGACACAGGGGTTGGAGCTGGAGGAGCTTTAAGGACCCTTCCAAACATTCTGGGGTATTTTAAGAGCTTTGAGAAAGTAAACACGTGTGTTTGAAATGTAAAGGTTCCCAGCATGGTCTGCTAAGTCATTCATCTAGAGTGATTATTTGTGGGAATTAGTTTCATTGTCATTGCTGGGTAATGCCAGGCAAGGTCATTTTGTACTTGGAGTGGTTAATTTTCTTCGGGGTTTATTGACGGTTCCCTCTGTCACACCAAAAACCTTACTGTAGGAATGAATGAAAAGGTTTAAATGTTTGAAAATAGCTTCTTCCCCTCCTCTTAAGATGGTAGCATTGAATGTCATTGTTTTGTACAGACACACACACTTGCACTTGCAGCCTTAATATTTGTACAGCAAGATAATGGTGGAGGTATGTATGATTAAGCATAAATAAAAGCACGGATTATTCGACTCTGATTACATCTGCAGCTATCCTGGGCATTTCCATAATGCCTATCACCACCAGTATATCAGAGCACTCTGTTTACAACTGATTTTACAGCATGAGAAGCTTTCAGTAGACGGAGGGGGGAAGGAGAACAGTGGTTGGCCTGCAGAGAGGCATTTATGCAGCTGAAGTTTCTCATCTGGAGCAATGTCTTGGTAACTATCTGAGACAGAAACCAAGGTCAAGTGGTTTGGCTCCCCTTGTGCTGATCTGGCAGTGCAAATCCAGTTCAGAGCTGCGAGAGAGATACCTTAAAAGAAAGTGAATTTCTGTGCAGGGGAAGTTTAAAATGGGCTGGATGAAAAGTCTGATGTTTGCAATGTAAACGGAGGATTTAGAAGAGCACGGAAGGGAGCTGGTGGGGTTTGGCTGGTCCCTGTGCATGCCCTCACCAAGAAGATGGCTCTTTCCCCATGGAGCACTATGGGAGCCCTGTGCTCCATGGGATCTTCTAGGATTGCCTTCCCTCAACACTGACCTACAGCAGCAGGTTATAGAGGTGGGTTTGTGTTCAAGGCCAGCTTGGACACAGGGGCTTGGAGCAAGCTGCTCTAGTGGAAGGGGTCCCTGCCCGTGGCAGGGGTTGGAGCTGGAGGAGCTTTAAGGTCCCTTCCAGCCCAAACTCATCCTGTGATTCTCTGATCCATTTTTGGATTCCTTGACTTTCTTTTTAGCCTAGTAAATATCGTATTTTCTATTTGAACTCAGAATCAGTATCCACAAACCAGTTTTGAATTAGGCACAGAATGTATCATAACTGAGGTCTTTATGAAACAAGAAGTGCTTCTTTATTTTCTATGCATATGCACAAATACACACGGGGATAATATTTCACTTTAAAATGCTGTTGGTGGCATATCTCTCTCAAATATTTTAAATACTAAGCTTTAATATTTTAGTGCAACAAATAGTTGTTTTTTGCCTCTGCAGTTAGAGCAATAATCTTTTATTCTCTGTATTCCTATTTCAAGACTCAAAAAATTGCTACATTATTCATTTAAATTAGAAATAAGAAACAAATCAGCATAAGCCACTCATTTCACAGTTCCTGCATCTCGCAGCAGCCTCGCGTGAATGCCAATGAACAGGACCTGACAAAACCCTCTCTTATCAAGTCCATCGGTCTTTTGGGGGCTCACCTTCTGCATCTTTCTGCCAACACATTTCAGAGAATGAAGCCATGCTTTAAAGAACCTCACAGTTTTGGGCTTTCTCCTCTACAGCCTTGTCTTATCCATCCAGGCAGAGTTAGCTCATGGACAGCTCTTGCAATCCCTCCTGCCTCCTTCCTCAAGGATTTTCAGATATATTTGTCTCAGTGGTGCTGAGTGACTCCTGGCTGGAAAATATACAAAAGCAAAATTCCACCCAGAATTCCACCCACAAAACCCAGAGAATGGCTGCAGAGGGATTAGCAGAGCAAAACTTGCTCCCCAAATTAACATATTTGATGTATATGATGCTGTAGGGAGGTGGAGTCCCCTGGGGCATTCCTCCCTTGTTCCAGCATGATCCTTGTCCCTACTGCTTCCTAAGGACTGGGGACACAGATGAGCACTGTGCCCAGGTGAGGACATGTCCTGTGGCACTGATGTACCTCATCTAACAGTTTGCCACACTCAGTGACAATGTTCCTAGGTGCCCCATGAGCCAGCACACAAATTGTGGTTCACTTTTCCTAAAGCTCTGCACTAATTTCTTCACTTGACTTTCTTCACTGGGATAAGAAAACCTTTTTGACCATACAACACCTATAATATCTTGCAAATAGAATCATAGAATTGTTTAGGTTGGAAAAGCCCTTTAAGTTCACCCAGTCCAACCATTCCCCAGCCCTGCCAAGGCCACCACTGCCCCATGGCACTGAGGGCTCCCCTCCACGCTGTGTGAACACTCGCAGGGACGGTGCCTGCAGCCCTGCCCTGGGCAGCCTGTTCCAATGCCTGAGCACCCTCTGGGGAAGGAATTGTTCCTCAGCTCCATCTAAACCTGCCCTGGGGGAGCTCGAGGCCGTTTCCTCTTGTCCCATCCCTTGTTTCTTGGGAGCAGAGCCCAGCCCCTCCTGGCTCCATCCTCCTTTGGAGGGTGCTTGCCTTTATTTAAAATGCAAGCATTTCGCCTTTCAGATGTGCTCTGGTGATGCTGGCCTGGGCAGTGCTGTACATTTCTCCCTCATTAAAAGGAGTTTCAGGGCTTGACCCCAGTAACGGGGGAACATCAGACTGGAGAGGATCTGATCCACCACACCACCTCACCCAGCTCCCACAGATGCAGCCCGAATGCGTTTCAGTGTTAGTTAAAT